ACCGTCACATTATAACGCCCTCACGGCTGAAAGGGCGAGCATGTTTGGTGGGACGGGGATTCGAACCCGCGAACCTCAAATTGCAAGTCGAGCGTTCTAACCACCTGGCCATGCCGGGTCTTTTTTTTACTTAGCAATGTTTCAAGCAATCAGTCTTCCTCAGGCTTAATATGAAAATGAAATTACACCTGACGAAAAGGAGTTGCTCGAAACGTCGCTAGATAAAATAATTTTGTTTCTATTTAAACTTTGTAATTTTAGTTTATTTTATGTATCTCTGAACGTTGTGCAAATTACAATTCTTCTTAAAACCTTCTCGAAAATGCCAACAAAGTCAACAAGTTGTTCCAGATTTGCAATCAGCGTTTAACAAGTCGTGACGTTATGATAGATCCAATGGTGATTAGTATCGTTGGCATTTGGAGTGCGCCCTATTCTGAGGAGTAGATAACATACTGTAATAAACGAACTTGTATTGACGAAAGAATCGCAACATGTAGTACCAATGTGTACAATTTGATATAAATGCTGCGGAAGTGTGAAATTGGTAATTAAAAAAACCCCACGGGGAGTGGGAGATATCCCCATCTAGAAGATAGAAGGGAAGAATTATCTCCCCCCCCCCACGAGGATGGAAAGTTTTTGAAAATGAAAGTGATTTATATACAGTTTGGTTCATAGACAAATTATTGAGTATATACAGGGTGAGGTAAAATTTACAATACAGCTAATACTTAAGAAAAGTTTACGAACACAATTGAAATTACTTTAATTATTAATATTATAAATGAAGCAACGGTATAGTAGCTTTTGTCCCACCCTGCATATAATATTTGTGGGACGGTTTTAGTGTCTTTTGGTTACTGTCTATTTTCGGTCATATTTGATCTTTAAATTGATCATGATCGATAAACGCCATTTTCCACACTTTTAATGCACATATCAACCTGCAGGTAACAAATCTATCCTTGTTGCGTCAATACATATACAAGTGTTTCAGCTCTGTAATTAAATGCTCCTACCTCCAGGTGACAGTCTAAATAAATCATCGAATTATTTTTGTTGGTTCCTTAGTTAAACAATGATACTTCTAGGTAACAGTCTAAATAAATCATCGAATTACGTTTGTTGTTTCCTTAATTAAACAATGATACTTCTAGGTAACAGTCTAAATAAACCATCGAATTATGTTTGTTGGTTCCTTAATTAAACAATAATAATTCTAGGTAACAGTCTAAATAAATCATCGAATTAC